TGGAGTGACAGACGGTGTGAACACATGCCTTCCTTTTGAAATCCCATGCAGTAACAGGAACCAGTTCATCTTTTGGGATGGTATACATCCTACAGAGGCAACAAATGTTTTTATAGCAGCAAGAGCATACAAAGCTAAGTTTCTTACTGATGCTTTTCCCTACGATATCAACCGCTTAGCTCAACTATCCTAATTGTGCGTTCCATGTTCATATCAACCACTTATATAGTTCAAGTGATTATGAAGGAAATAAAGTTATCAGCTGCGTTTGGGAATTATTATGCATATGTATGGAGATTTATGAGTATATGGGAATGTGGATGACCACCATAATAACCATTATCTCCACTTTTTCATATTTGTAACATAAGCTCTTATTTTTATAATTAGTAGCTATAGTTTGTGGGTTAAATACCTGTATTTGTAAGCCTATAAATAAGTGGTTATCAAAGATGAATGAAAGAAGTTTTAGAGACTAATTTCTGTTGTATTCCTCTACTCCTCATTTCTCTCTACAATTTTCTTTAGTTATATAACACATTATCAGCACGAATCCTCTCCCAAATACCAACTGAGTTCTCCGACCAAAACCCACAGAAGCTGGGCTTCCCTGCCCCCTCCCTCGCTAGTGAATGTTCTGCTGAGTGATGGACTATAACCGGTCCTCCAGACTAGCTGTTTAGTTGATTTCTCTTCTGTTAATGTAGTTCTTTTGTAGTTCCTGGGTTTCTTTTTGCACCCTGCTTTCCCTTGTTTTCGCCTTCTCGCTTTTATGAAATCAATCAGTTGAACAACAACAAAATGAGGTGTACCCCTTTCGTGCATCCACTTATTATTGTTAGAAAGACTAGAAATGTTTTGGTTTTCCTTGCCAAATTTATATTCATGATTGTAAGAGCATCCACAATGGAGGGTGTATATGGGGGTGTATGTTAAATATACACCCCGAATCACCGGAATCGTCTCCAATGGGGAGATGTAAATGGATGTAAATATACATCACTACCATGGGGATGTAAAATAAAATGTATATTTACATCTATTTTTACATCCCTTGCAGGTGGGACCCACCCGAGAAAAGAGAAGAAAAATGAAGAAAAGTCAACATAAAAGGCTGGGACCCACGGCTACACCCCCGAATTTACACTCCCCCACTGGAGCAAAAAACATATTTACACCCCCCGGAGGTGTAAAGGGGATGTAAAAGTGGCTTTACACCCCCGAATTTACACCCCTCCATTGTGGATGCTCTAAGTATTTAAGATCTGTACAAACTCAATTACATAGTTTAGGTTATGAGTGGTTCATTCAATTGAGGTCAGAGTACAACATGGCTAAGCTGCAATCATTGTTCATCAAATGGTACATTATTCATCATTATTGCATTGCACCCTAATCATTGATTCTGTACTCGATTCATTATTGCATTGCAATCATAGTTGCTTTCTAAAACTAGATCTAGGAAATATTGAGCTTATTAGGACAATCTTTGTAAGAATCTTCTTAGTGGATTAGCTGATCGGAATGATAACCAATAGTTTTTCCTAGTTGTGGTTGAATGATTTATTCCTAACAATATCTTCAAAGTTGTAATAGTCTGTTTGAGCAAGTTGTCCTAGTTTAGTACTATCTACTTGGGTTTTAATTAGTTTGTTCACCTAAATATCGGTTTTCGATTATAATAAAAGAATATGTATTTTTGTGTTGCATTTCTTTGAAGGGAATATGAAAGTCAATCCATTTAATCGGGATACACTTGGAAAACAAAAGCTAGATGGTATGAAATATTAATGACATTGTTTTTTTTTTTTTTATATAAATACAATAGTCTAAAGTACAACGCGTAGGGGGGTGTTTCTTAGACACGCATACTACTAAAGTGTCATAGGAGTTCGAACCTGAGACCACTAGTTTGCAAATAAAGGCCATTTTCCACTAGTTTAGACCTCATCGAGATTGTTTTAAGTGTAAAGAAAGTGACGAATGTTATGAGGAAAATGGAAGAGGTCCAAAAAAGAAGGTTAGAGAGAAAGTTGCTAACATTCCCGTTTATCTAATATATCCAATTAATAATAAATATAACTTTTTTTCTTGCCTAAAATAATAAATTAAAATAACTTCGAATGCACCATAATGCACACTTCTTTACGTAAACTACGCACGTACCGCACACTATTACTTATTAATATCCATGTGGTCCTTGTGAACCCAAATAAGGGTCGTGTCATATCCTCATCATTTACAAGAGGTCCCTATTTTTGATAAAAGAAGACATTGATAACATTGTTGGCTCACTCTGCAATGCTCTTTAAATTTTAAAGAAATTTAAAAAAAAATTCAGTTAAATAGGAAATTGTTTGTTCATTCGATTTTCATCACGATGATTCAATGCCCCATTAGAATATTGTGTTCATCAATTTATTTGTTCACATTTAAATGATTAAATGATTTTTCGTTTGAGTAAGATTTTTTTTTTCCCGGGTGACTTTTGAAAGAAAGCCAAAAAATAGATAATTTGAATCATTAGAATATTTCACAGAGAGTTGGACTTACATGCAATACTCCCTTTACTCTCTCATAAAAAAAATTCTCAATTTTGAAGCTTTTCCTTATGTACAATTCCTATATGCCCTTGTCAGTATTCAAATTGAAGGAAAGCAAGGTACAACTTCTCTATAGCCTTATTAGGGATCATCATTAGGCCCGCGAGCCGAAGTGAATAGCTCAGCTTGGTCCAGTTTGTTAGGCCTGTCTAGGCCGAACCTATTAGATAGGTTAGGATCAATCCCTTTGAGACCTCGGGAGCTTCTATAATGAGGGTTTATAGTGAGGAGGCTATTTGAGGAGGCCCATCTCACCATCAAAAGGGGTGTGGACCCCCCAATGCACCCCCCACATGTACTTTGTTTTTAGTTATTGATGGTGAGATTTCACCTCCTCAAATAACCTCCTCACTCAACCTCCTCATTCTAGCCTCTCCATTGAGACCTCAGTTTGGCATGAAAAATTAAAACAAACCTATAGAGCCCTGCTCGAGTTCAACTCAAACTTAATAAATTTGGACCAACCTAGCCCAACCTGATAATGAACCCTAAGCCTTATAATCCAAGTACTTTTGTTTTTGCTATGGAAGGGATCAAATCATTGGCCTAACTTATCCCTAATTTATTTCCCCATCTACCTCACCATTTGGGCTACACCCTAGGGCTTACGATCAATGTACTTCTAACTAGCACTTAAAAGCGGGATCTTTGTCCGTGGCCAATAACCTTCTTGTGTCCGTGGTCAACTAGGCTCATTAAATATTTGTTTAAATGGCCCATAAAAATGGTGGCTAATATTGAAGTTGTGTGAGGCACTAGTTTTATCTTCGAACACGTGATCTATCTAAGCACAAGTAAAACGATTTTGTAATGGTTCATGGATATCGATCATCCTTGCAACTACTAATTTTTTTTAAATACAAGTGATAGTCTAAACTATAAGGGAGTGAGGGGTTTCTCACACACACACACACAAACACAAACTATGAAGGTACCATGAGAGTTTGGACCTGAAACCACTGGTATGCAAGTTAAGGCGATTTTCCACTGTACTAGATCCTGTTGGCCAAATACATATTTTCTTTTAAAGAAAAAAGAATACAAATTGAATGGAATGTTTGTGATTCGTTTTTAATCTTGGGGAAGAACTTAAGCCAAATAGATTCTATAAAATAGCTGGAAAGTCAAATATCTAGGCCTCTTCAATGGGCCAGGCCGGCCTAGCCCAACCCAAATTTAATGGGCTTGGGCTATGCCGGATTTTTTTAAAAATTCAAAGCCCAAGCCTAGTCCATGGACCAGGTTTTAAAAAGCCCATCGGGCCGGGCGGGCCTAAATGGGCCTACTTTATTTATTATTATTTTTTAATATGTATTTTTTTGTCAATTCTTTATTTATTTTTCTATGTTTTGGTGTGTTTCTATGTTTCCTCTTTTTTTCATAGTTCTCTATTTACATTTGTCTATATGTTTATGTCTCCATTTTTTTCTTTGTTCATAAATTCGTAGTTCTCTTTTTGTCCCATAAATATAAAGATGTAGTTATACAACCATATTAATAAAATCATATTCTATCACATATTTCATGTTTTTAAGTTCTTATAATGATAATAGATAATGATTTTCTCCATATTTCATTTAACTTGGGTTTTTTTATATGTATGTGAGTTCGTGGGTGGGGCTTTTATGGGCGGGCCGGGCTGGGCTTTCTTGGACTCAAACGGGCTAGGCTTTAGACATCCAAGTCCAAGCCCGGCCCACTCAACAACGGGCAGGGCCAAGCTTTTTCTCAATGGGCCAAGCGAGCCCCCATCAACCCATGGGCTTGCGGGCCTAATGATGACCCCTACAAATATCACTTTGAGGGGTCGTTTGATATGGCGGACTATTATGGACCGGATTAAATCCTAGGACTGTCTTGAATTATCTCGGATTGGACTAAGCCGGATTAAGTACTGACCTACGTTTGGTGTTGCGTCAGACTAAGAAACTGGATTGTAAAAATAGTGAAGACTTATGTTTAGTGTTGTGTCGGACTATTTTTTTTTTAATATTTAATTTTAATTAAGAATTTTAGCCTAAAAATAAATAAAATTCTAATATTTTTGAAAAACTAAAACTATCTCATTTCTTTTTATTTTTCTTCTTCCTTACTCTTATCTCCCTTGTCTTTTCTTCTCTGGCCCGTTCCTTTTTTTTTTTTTTCATTTCTTCCTTCATCTTCTCTCCTTTGTCTTTTCCCCTTCCTTTTCTTCCCTGGCTTTTTTTTTTTCCTTCCTTCCTCCTTTCTTCTTCTTTCCATTCCCAGGCCGTTTCTGTTTTTCTTCGTTTCCTTCTTCCTATTCTTTCCTTTTATCTTTTATTCTTCCTTCCCTCCTTTTCACTCTCTCTCTACAGATCCAACCATCAACTCTCTCTCTCTCTCTCTCTCTCTCTCTCTCTGTGGTTCCACTGATTAATGGCTGTGAAGGTTCGATTGGGTGGTGCTGGTGGTTTAGCTGGGTATGTGGTGGTTGGGGATGATGGTTCGATTGACTGATTGGGTGATGGTGATGGTTCGATTGGGTATGTGGTGGCTGGTTGTGGGTTTGATGGTGGTGGTCTGATGGTTGTGGCATCGGGGTGATGGTGGTATGTTTGATGTTTCGGGCTCGTGTGTTTGATGGCGGTGCTGGTATTCAGCCGGACTCCTTGTACAAAATAGCACCCTCGTTATTTAGCGAACCAAGTTTTGGGCTCACTATATTAGACAAGCGAGTCCTTTGTTTTTTTACCCATTGGATTATATAATCTCATTTAACTTAATCCCCTCCCTTTCCAAACATAGGTTTTTAGGACTATTTAACCCAGTCCAATCCAGTGAAGCTTAGTGAAGCATGCCAAACAGGGCCTGAGGGGGCTAAAATAGGGACCAACATAACCTATCCATCTATATCGTTGCTTCTTTCGTGTACCCCTATAGGTTGGTTCATTAATATGGCCCAATACAATTTTCTTGTTTGGCCTATATATCAGGGATGAACCTACCCTTTGGCTAACCTGGGCTATAGACCAGGTGACTTTGTCTATTTTCAGCCTAAACTAATATACCTAGCCCAACCAAAAGACAAACATGCACTGCACTCTTTTATTGGTTGTGTGCCACTTCGGTACTCCACTGTTATGAGTCTATGACTTTCCACTGAGCACATCACACTAAAAAGAACAAAAATATATATGGTCACTCGTTTTGTTTTTTTTTGTGGACTTTTTCTTTCTTTCTTTCTTTCTTTTTTTTTTTTTTGGTTGCAATTTTGCACTAAAAATATTAAGATATAAGTCAGGGTCAATTACCTCAACCCTATACCTTCACCTCTTTTTTTTTTTTGGGTACAAAAAGGGCCAAAGGCTAAACCCCCATTTTTTGGTCGAAAATACCCCTATTTTCTTTTTTCATTGAAAATAACTTGTTCTTCACTTTACACACCCCTGCCCGTAGAAAACAAAAAAGAGATATGTGCTAGATGAATTTTATGGGGTAAAGCTCATTATGTCCTCTTGATTAGGATATATTTTTTGTGATCAATGAAATTTACTCGTACTGTCGAGTTTTCTATCTTCTTAATAGGTTTGTGCGTAATGTAAATTTAGTCCACCCCAATTTGAAATCCTGAGTCCGTCTCTGCTTTATATGACAATCCTGCTCGTACAAATTTGTACACCATTCCTTCAAAATTCCATTGCTATTTCATTTGCTTCTTTTGTTCTTGTGTTCTTCAACGTGGAATTATGAAGCCGTTGTGGGTGATGTCCATTTTGTTGGTTTCAATCTTGCATTATTATTTGGTTAATGAGGCACCGCAACCACAAATTCTATGTTACTTTATATCTAGAGACTCGTTATGCGATAATGGAAACAACACTGGGCTCTTGACAGTGGCCAAAGCCAATTATCCACCCTATGGCATTGACTTTCCAAGAGGTCCAACGGGAAGGTTTTCCAATGGACGCAATTTGGTCGATGTCGTTGGTCAGTTGTCTCGTTTTTCTGCAAATATTCAAACGCATTATGTTAACTTTTAAAAAAAAAAATTTTTTTAAAAGAAGATCATCTCTTAATTGGATAGAACCATGGGATTAGGTCAATTGGCAAAAATGGGAGTGAAAATTGGAGTGTAATTACAAGATTGTCCTCAAATTATAAGTTTATTCTCACATAGGGCAACAAAAATTTAGTTTCGAAGGCCTTATTTATTATAGTATATATGAGGCTGCATTTGGCATTGGAGCCGCCCTGTATATATGCATGTACTCTATTACTAATTGTTGGCGAGTCCTTACTTAGTTAGGATTTTAGTTCCTTATTTCATTAGAATTTGGGTTACTTACCAATTATTATTTAGTCCTATTGTAATAGAGATTTACTTCCTATTGTAATTTAGATATATTTCCTATTTTATTTAGGGTTAACACATCTTTGTACTTGTATAATACCTCCATAATTGAGAAGAATAATAATATGAGCGTATCTTAGCATAACTAAATATTTACCCTACTTTGTTTGACATGGTATCAGAGCCAGGTTTTCTTGTGACCTGTGTTTGCGTTCTCCTTGCAATTTCCCCTCCTCTTCAAGGGGGGGAGGGGGAGTGAAAAGGATATGTTTATTGACGTATCCCCATTAGCTTGACATATTCCCATGAAGATGTTGCTTATTTCTTGACTCCGACGACCTCTTCTCTTCAGGGGGAGAGGAGGAGTGAAGAGAAGTTGTATGTGTGAATTAGCTAAAGTTGATATGGAAGTACTGTTGTTGTTGCTGTTGTCGTTGCCGTTACCTCTACAACTGTCGTTGATGTTACCGTTGCCGCTATTATTGTCGTTGATGTTGCTGTTGTTATGGTCATTACCGATGATGTTACTGTGTTTTGATCTGTCTTTACCCTAACCCTAGAGACTACCTATTTCCGTTGCACTATACATCTAGCTTATAATCCTAGTCTGCCGCCGCCGCCGTCTACCTTGCTACCGTCATCACTGCCTACCTTGCTATTGTCACCGCTGCTCATCTATTTCGCTGCGATTTAACCACCTATCAGCCATGGCTGATTCTGCTACATCTCAGTGTTAGTCAGTGTATGTTTCTCAAGTACCATTGATCATATGGGAGAGGGGGAGTGAAGAGAAGTTGTCTCTACTGTTGCTGGTGCCAATGCCTTGTATTGCTGTTGATGATGCCTGTTATGTCTCTGCCTTGTTGCTCTTGTTGGTGCCAGTATTGTTGCTCATGCCTTTGCTGGTGTGTTTGCCTTGCCTTACCCTATTTTTTAGGGTTTGGTTTCTGCCTTATCTTCTGCCGTGCTCACATGGCTTCTGTGTTCTGCCTTATCTGCTGCCGTGCTCACAGTGTTTTTGTGTTCTGCTATCTGCCTTATCTTCTGCCGTGCTCACAGGTCTTCTGTGTTCTGCCTTACCTACTGCCATGCTCACAGAGTTTCTGTGTTCTGCCTTATCTATTGCCGTGCTCACAGGGCTTCTGTGTTCTGCCTTATCTGCTGCCATGTTCACAGGGCTTCTGTGTTCTGCTATGTGCCCTATTTTTTAGGGTTTGCTCTTGTGTTTCCGCTGCAAACTTTGCTTTAGGTTGTCACTTGTTTCACTCGTGGTTGACGAAAAGACCTTCTCTACAATTGGTGCTTCTCAAGTATGGTGTTCTGTGACTCGCTTGTCAAGTTGGACGTGCGAAATATCTTTGCCCAACTTGAGGGGGAGTGTTGGCGAGTCCTTACTTAGTTAGGATTTTAGTTCCTTATTTCATTAGAATTTGGGTTACTTACCAATTATTATTTAGTCCTATTGTAATAGAGATTTACTTCCTATTGTAATTTAGATATATTTCCTATTTTATTTAGGGTTAACACATCTTTGTACTTGTATAAATACCTCCATAATTGAGAAGAATAATAATATGAGCGTATCTTAGCATAACTAAATATTTACCCTACTTTGTTTGACACTAATTAGTTTGAAATTGTTCTCATTGCAGCTGAACTTCTACGTTTTGATAGTTACAACTTACATCCCACCTTTTGCTACTGCAAGAGGATCAGAAATACTCGAAGGCTTGAATTATGCATCTGGGGCAGCTGGTATCCGCAACGAAACTGGAAGACAAGCGGTAATTATTTTGGGTTTTCTACTGAAATGGTCCTTGTTTTTATTTTCTCTACTACATGATCATAAAGACTCTTTCGCCTCAGAAATTAACTTCCGTCCTTGACACCTCGCAAAGAATTCTAAAACGCCAAAAAAATTCAAAGAATGCACGTGATCCAATTTTTTTCCAGAAATTAATGGTTATGGTTTTATGTTATGGCACAAAAGAAGTCTTGAAAAAATTGAGAGGTTTGAGAAACTAAACCATATGCAATTTAATCCCTCTTCTTGATTTTCTTGATTTTGCAGGGACAGATAATAAGCATGGATATGCAGTTGCAAAATCATCAAAGCATGGTAAAAAACATAGCTTCTTTTAGGGGAAATAATGCCTCATCAGCAGTGGAGTTACTGTTGGGATGGGCAGTTGAAATAGAAAGAACTGAAAACTATATTATTCTTCTCTTTAGAGGATATTTATACAAAGAGTACAATCCCTACAAGGAAACCAATCCCTACAAGGAAACCAATCCCGGTTAAAGGAGGAATAACTAAATACAGCTTTTACGCCTATAACTAGGAAACCTAATTATATACAAAAGTCAACACTCCCCCTCAAGTTGGTGCATAGATGTCACACATACCCAACTTGGACAGGAACCTAGAAAACACGTGACTTGCAACGGCCTTTGTCAGTATATCTGCTAGCTGATCTTCTGTCCGGATTGGTGGTACCTCAATAATCTTCCCTTATATTTTTTCTTTAATAAAGAATCGATCCACCTCAACATATTCGGTTCTGTCGTGTTGTACTAGATTATGTGCAATATCACATGCGGCTTGGTTATCACAAAACAACTTCATAGGTGAAGGACCTAAGTCCTTCAATAGATTCCGTATCCAAAGTATCTCACATATTCCCAATGCCATGCCGCGATATTATGCTTCAGCACTAGACCATGCAACTACATTCTGCTTGTTGCTTCTCTAGGTAACCAAGTTACCTCCCACAAATGTGAAATAACCTGATGTAGAACGTCTATCATTAATCAATCATGCCCAATCTGCATCTGTATACCCTTCAACTCTAAGATGATTGTTCTTCTTGAACAATATGCCTTTACCTGGATTTCCTTTCAAATACCGCAATATTCTTATTACAGCATTCATGTGCTGCTCTCCAGGACTATGCTTAAACTGACTGACTACTCCCAAGACGTGTGTGTGCCAAGTACATCAGTCGGCCAACTAATCTCTGATATTGTCCCTTATCTGCTGGAACTTGATTCAAATCAATCCCAAGCTTCAAGCCTTCTTCTAATGGCGTCTCAACAGGTTGGCAGGCCGACATGCCTGTTTCCTGCAACAAATCCAGGGTATACTTCCTTTGAGACAAGAAAATCCCTTATTTGCAGCGAGATACTTCAATTCCCAAAAAATACTTCAAATCACCTAGATCTTTCATCTCAAATTCTACTGACAAATATTTCTGAAGACCTAAGCGCTCCTTCTCATCATCTCCTGTAACCACCATATCATCAACATAAACTATAAGTGCTGTAATTTTACCATCTTTTTGCTTTATAAACAGAGTATGATCTGAATTACTCTGCTTATAACCAAATCATCTCATAGCTTGTGTAAATCTCCCAAACCAAGCTCTGGGTGACTGTTTGAGACCATATAAGGACTTCTGCAATCGGCAGACCTGCCTGCTTCCCACTAGAACCCGGAACACTATATCTAGGTGGAAGGTCCATATAAACTTCTTCTGTCAGTTCTCCATGTAGAAATGCATTCTTTACGTCAAACTAATGCAAAGGCCAATCTAAGTTCGCTGCTAGGGACAATAAGACACGACTTGTATTTATCTTTGCTACCGGTGCGAATGTCTCTGTATAATCAATCCCATATTTTTCTGAGTACCCTTTTTCAACTAATCTAGCCTTGTAGCGATCAATTGTTCCATCTGCAAAATACTTCACAGTAAAAATCCATCTGCACCCCATAGATTTCTTCCCAATCGGTAAATCAACTATTTTCCATGTGTCATTCTTCTTTAATGACCTCAACTCCTCCTCCATTGCAGCTTGCCAATTTTGATTTGATAAGGCTTCCTGCATACTGTTAGGAATACGTACAAAAGATAATTGACACACAAATGACTTATTTGATTCTGATAGATGATTAGTGGTCACATAATTACTCATGGGATATTTTACTTTACTTGTAGGATCAAGTTCATAGGTGGGTTTTGGAATACCTCGATTACTTCTTGGTGGAAGACGTGGTGGATGGACATCCGTCATTGGTGGAGATTGGTTATCATTGGCGGCATTACGCTTGGGCAGCATAGGTTCATCCGGTTCAATTATCGGATCGGATTGGTGTTGTAAATCTAGTTCAGGTGTCATCTGTTCAATTGGGGCATGCTGCAACACCGGCACTGATGCTGTGTCCGGTTCGGTCATTGGTGGATTTTCACCACTTTCATCCAAGGAATTATCACCACTTTCACCCAAATTATCCACAACAACACGATCCGGTATGACTGTATAATCCAGAGTCTGCACTTCTCATCTTCTCTCCCCCTGAAGTGAACACTCAGGTGAGTAATAATACATGGTCAACTCATGAAACGTCACATCCATAGTGACAATCATCTTCTGTGTCGGGGGATGATAACACCGATAGCCTTTCTGTTGTGACGCATATCCAACAAAGACACACTGCATAGCTCGAGGTTCCAACTTACTCCGTTGGTGCTTATGAAGATGTACATAAGCCACACAGCCGAAAACATGGGGTAGGAGATTCGGAGAAGGTGGGGCAGAAATCAATGAGGTCGGGAGGTGATGCG